TATATAGTTAGTTTGCATCCTAATGTGCTCCATCTTTATCAATAAAACAAAAGTTGTAATTGTTATCCTGACTAAGTCGTAATCTCAGTCATATGTTACATGAAACATTACACAAGATTGTCATATCATGTAGTGTATGCAACTATGCATTTTGTGACAAATGTACCTATAAATCCTCTTATGCAACATGGATAAAAACATGTTTCATTATATTCAATAAATTTTACAATAGTAAGGGGATAAACTTTTCTTGCCCATATTGACACATTCTATAACACACAACACCCAAAATAACATATTTAAACTCAAGATTTCAAAGTTTCTATAAGTAAGTTTCAACACCTTACCCAATCTGATGTTCAACATTGATCTACATCAGCTGTAGGAAGGGATACAGGGTTGCCCTCCAACAAACAAAAAATTGGTGGAACAGTTAGAGTCTGAAGATCCCCATATGCATTCCAACAAAAAGGACTCGACATAATCTGGCCTTGAGAAGGCCATAATTCCACTTCGGAAAATGTTAGGTTTCTACATGGTACACTGTCACTACACCCCAAATGCATGGCTGGACTTCTAACATCATAAGTTCCTCTAATTCTCTCGTAAACTATGTCTGATATGCTCACTGCTGAAGTCTGGTTCGGACACAATTTTGTTTGGCAATAGTATTGGTCGATCATGATCGGGTTTCGAACAGTATCCATATGGATGTTGATGAATCGTACATTTGACACTGAACCTAATCCTCCTTGCCATGTCTTGATTCGGACACCGTTGTCTGAATGCTTTATGACTGAATCTGTAACTACTATGTTTGATACACATGCTCGTGAGTTACGCATCCCAAGACTACCAATGCTGCAACATGAACATGATCAGGAAAAAGACACAACCATGATTATTTATTTGTAACATTTGTTTAAAAGACTTGTCATTGTGGCCCGGAAAAAGGTTGGGTCGTGCAGATCACTCGGGTTATTGTAGATCAAGGATAATCAAGATAGAACTTATGGATATCTCGTTCGGCCTTGTAAACGTGGTCCAATTTTATTTTTAGATCAACATGTGCACCTATATTGTAATTACTGCATTTGTTTACCATGAAACTTGAATCTTCATCTAAGAACAACATCTAAAAATGTTGTAGAGCTCTATATGAATTATAATAATGGTCAAGTAGGCTACCAATATTGTTTATTTATATGGTACACTTTTAAGTATAGGATGGTGAGTTGATTTGCATTAAATTTCATTTTTATGATAAGATATACAAAATTAAATAATTGGGTAAAATGAAATTGGTTTGAAAGAGTCGAAACCCATCCAAGGTATTCAAATTCAATTTTTTTTTATTAATATCATTTTCTTGAAAGTGTTGGTTATTATTATAATAATATGCAATTCGTAATAAAATGTAATGTATTATTTATTTATTTGATTATAATATAAATGAGATGCTGTTTGTGGATAGACCAACCCGACCCGCATTTTAACATGTCATTGGACGAATGTAGTAACTAGTTGAATATTTGAAGGGCATTCTATATGCTTTATGGGTTTAAACTAAAAGTGGGGACTTTTAGGAATGTTCACCTTATCCCATGGCTTGGACCACATGTTATGTTCTTTATGTCTACATCATAACTCCCTGCCCCAATTGACACACAATCATCACCTGCATATTAAACAAATCTCAATAAAAGAATTAATATTATTTGATTTTTAGGTTGATGGTATTTGATCGGTTTTCAATATTCTTACCATTGGATATAAGTGAGTTGTATATCTTCACATCGTTTGTGTTCTCGATATGGATTCCATCAGTGTTGGGGCTTAGAGATGGAGCTTTAATATTCAACGAATCTATGTATACGCCATGGCACCCATCGAAACGGAAGTTGAATTGTGGGCTATTCTTCACTTTAATTCCTTTTACTGTTATATTTGTGCTCATGAAAAATCTAATAGCCTGCATTTGCATTTAAAAGTATTGATCGTTGTTATGTAACTAAATGACCTGTAGATATCAGTTAAATACTAATTAAATTGAAGTGTGTGTTTAGACGTTAGACTTACAACAGGACTGTCACAAGGACCAGGTAGAGTTGTTCCGTTTGGTCCCTGCCAAATTATTCGTAAGGTTGTTAGTGTCAAGTTACATCCATTTTGTTAATTCAGGTACCTAATCAACATATTAACATTTTATTAACAAAAATAAACATAAGAATATAAATTGATGACATTTTAAAATAAACCTAGCGTTGGCATTTGAAAGTTACAATGTGGCCTTTGTTATAGACTTGTTGCCTTTTTGTATATCTTTTTGCAGTCTTTTTATATTTAAAATAAATTGATCTAGAAAAAACAC